AAAAAAAGGTAGAAGGACAATAAAAGAAATTAAGGGATGCTTAAGTTTTCACTAGAGGCTGGTTTGACTAGAGACTCATTAGGAACTTAATAGACATTCCCAGGGGAGCTTGATTGCATTGCTATCTGGGGCATTGAGATGGGTCTTAGGGAGACCTATCCAAATAGATGGCTGTTTGAAGTTTTTGAAGGGGTCTGCATAGGTTGGATTTATCTAGGCTACTGACACAATAGTCCACTTTTCTTTGCATGTGTAGACATAGACTTTTTAAAGGCACACAGAGTGGATAGAAATCCTGGGTATTTCATTTGTAGCAGATGAGCACTTTCAAATGAAGAACCTCGGATTCTTCATGTATACTTTCAAAATCCAATAAGCTTCTAACCTCATAGCCAGGCCTTCCATACAAGCTTTCTGGCCTTTCTGACCTTCTTTGTCAACCCCATTTGCTACAACTCCCATCATGACCTTTGCACACTGCTGTCCTTGACTTGCTTAACCCTATTCTAACATGTCTGCAATTTCCACTAGCATGTTCATGCTTTTTCCTATGTATGTGGCAAACTCCTACGGAAAATCTAAGATCTCGTTCAAATATTGCCTCTTTGAAGCCTTCTCTTTTACCTAAGGCATATTTGTAATGCTGTACTTCCTCTGGCTTCAACAAAATCAGGTATAGTGTGGAGTAATGGAAAGGGCAGGCTTCTGTTGTCAAAATGATCTCAACCTGATGCTTGCAACTACTAACTGTGTGATCTTAGGCAAGCTAGTTAATCTTCCTGAGGCTCAGGTTCCTGATTTTTAAAATAAAGACTGTTGATTCCCTAAATTTATGGAAAACATTAGTGATGCTGTATTATCATTGCTTGACTGCTTATATTTCTCTTTTTGAGCCTGTTGCGATAAAAGATCATATATATATATATATATATATATATATATATATATATATGTATATTTTGCCACAATAGAAGATACCTAGCATAGTGCCTGGTGTTTTGCAGCATTCAATGTTACTGCAATCAATGAAGAGTTCTGGAAAAGTAACTCAAGCAATGACAGTCACATTAAAGTCCAAGTTCATCTATAAAGTGCTCTCTGGTCATTCCTGTGACGATTAATTTAAATTCTTATAGTTCATGTACGTACTACTAAGGCTCTTGTCACAGCCTGCTTTCACAGACACTAATTTAATCTAAGCTCCTCCAGGGGAGTAACCTTGGCTTTCACTCTGGGCTCCTCAGGACATTTCACAATGCTCTGAAAATGCCAGCTAATGATAAGGTTATTTAAAACACCCTATTATCCTTCTCATTCCAGACAATTTTCCTCCCCACTTTATGCTGAATTTATCCCAAGGTCCCAGAGAATGAGGCTTCTGCATCAATGACTTATTATTGCAGTCCTTGCCTTTAGTTCAAAGTGAGTGGCATCTCCTGACTGAGCTTTCCCAACTCTCCACATAGTTGTTCTCTCCTTTCCTCAGTGCATTTTATCTCGTGTTAGTGGTCCTTTGCTTTCTACTTCTGGACAAGTCTTCTTATTGATGTATTTTCTCATAGGGATTTGGAAAACTTTGATTTATTACCAATTAGTGCATGAGTAAATCTCATGGAGAGTTACTAACGTAAGATACCCTAAAAAATCATCGAATCCAGCAACTGCAAATAGAGAATAATTCCCAATGTTGTGCTAGAGATGACTCAATCGTGGCATTCTTTTTTCCTTCTAAGATCATATATGGCCTCAGAATCCTTTTTCAAAACAATACTCTAGATATAAACTATCAATCCATTAGTGTACTTAGGAGATGAAACTTGTTTGACATCCCTGACGTAGTTTAAAGTTTTTATTTTGGTAATAAGGGCCAAAGAACAATAGTGACTTAGTGAGCTGAAACCAGAACCCAGGTTATTGACCCTCCTGATTTTCCATTCAGGGCTTCCCTTCCCAGATGATTACTCCTTTCTTTCAATAGCCAAGTTCTAATAATTTACAATCTATTCTTTGGCAAATACCTAATGGTGTTTAACATGTATGATTAAAAAGCACATCATATATGTTTCAGCCTTACTGAAAAGACATCTGGCCTCTCACTGATGTTAGGAGCTCTTGGGGAAAAGGGCCTATGCTAGACTTTGTGTCCTTCTAAAGTTCTAGTCCTGTTTCTGGCACATGGTAGGTATTCAATAAAAATCCTCTCACATGTAGCCAACTCTCTCTGTCTGTCTGTCTATCTATCTATCTATCTATCTATCTATCTATCTATCTATCTATCTATCATCTATCTATTGTCTATCTATCTATCTATTATCTATCTATCTATTATCTATCTATTTATCTATCTATCTATCTATCTATCTATCTATCTATCTATCTGTCTGTCTATCTATCTATCTATCATCTATCTATCTCAAACAAATAGGAGGTCTATCCTTAATTTCTCACCAGGAATCATGGAAAAAATTCTACCTCTTGTATACAAGTAGTATTTGTTTGAAAGGACTTTATGTCATGATGTCACATACCCTCACTTCTACTTATAATGACATCCTATGTTTCAATAAATTTTCATTTCACTTGAATATTTTATGGGAGGGTAAATTATTATGTCAATGACTGGGCTCCCTTATGATTCTTCTACTTAGAAATAGAAAGGGCAGTGCTATAATTCGGGCCTCAAAATCCCCGAGAAATGATAGCTTTTCTTTTTCTTGTTTTTCATGGTGACAGCAATTGACCATAATTTGTGATTCTGTATGATATTCATAAGCTACAATTGTTAGGATAGAAAGGCAAAGAAAAGGATATGAAGAAAAAGAGAATAGGAAGAGAGAAGATGGGGAAAGTTATTTTACAACACAGCAATAAGATACTAGTATTATCTCTTCAAAGAATTGATTTAAAAAGGTGTACGAGCCACAGCTAACATCATAATTCATGGTGAAAGACCGAATGCAGTTCTGTTAATGTCAGGAATAAGAAAAAAATGTCTGCTTTTGCCATTTCTAACATTATACTGAAGGTTCTAGATGGTGCAATTAAGCAAGGAAAAAAGGCATCCATATTTGAAGGAAAGAAGCAAAACTCTCTCTTTTTGCACGTATATCTTGTATATAGAAAACCCTGAGGAATTCACTAAAAAACTGTGGCTGTAGCAAATTTGCAGGATATAAGATTGATATATATATATAAATAATCATATTTCTGTACATTTGCAATGAAGAATCCAAAAATGAAATTAAGAAGACAATTCATATGCAAAAGAATGAAATCAGAACCCTAACTCATACAACGTACAAATACTAACTCAACGTGGATCAAACACCTAAATGTAAGAGCTAAAATTATAAAACTCATTGAAGAAAATATGATGTAAATCTTTATGACTTTCATTAGGAAATGGTTTCCTAGATATGACACCAAAAGCAAAAATAACAAAAGAAAAAATACACACATTGGACTTCACCAAAATTAGATCCTTTTGTGTACAAAGAACACTATCAAGAAAATGAAGACAACCCACAGAGTGGGAGAAAATATTGTAAAGCATTTATCTCATAAAGGATTAATAACCCAACTATATAAAGAACTTCTACAACTCAACAATAACAAGACAACCCAATTTAAAAATGGGCAAAGGATCTCAATAAACATTTCTCCAAATAATATATACAAATAGCCAATAAGCACATGAAAATATGCTCAATATCAGCAGTCATTAAGGAAATGAAATCAAAACCCCAATGAGATAACACTTCATACCAACTAAGATGGCTGTAATCAGAAAGACATATAATAACAAGGATGGGGAGAAATTGGGACCCTCATACATTGTTGTGGAAATGTAAAATGGTGCAACCACTTTGGAAAACAGCCTGTCAGTTCCTCAAAATGTTAAGCATAGAGTTACTATATGATCCAACAATCTCACTCCTAGGCATATGGAAATAAAAACATGTCACAGAAAAGTTTGTACACAAATGTTCATAGCAGCATTATCCATAACAACTACAAACTGGAAACAATTGAAATGTCCATCAACTGATAAATGAACAGATTAAATGTGGCATATCCATACAATGGAATATTATTTGGCAATAAGTAGAAATGAAGTACTTACACATTCTACAACACAAATGCATCTTGAAAACATAATGTAAGTAAAAAAAAAAAAAGCCACAAAAGACCACATGGTGTATAATTTCACTTATATAAAATAGGAAAATCCATAGGGACAAAAAGTAGATTAGTGGTTGCCTATGTTGGGGTGGGTGGGGGTGGGAGGATGGGGAAATGGGAGGTGACTGTCAATGCATATAGGTTTTCTTTATGGAGTGATGAAATGCTCTAAAATTGATTGTAGTGATGGTTGCATAATTCTAAATACACTAAAAGCCACTGGATTGTATTTTTTAAGTGGGTGAATTACATTGTATGCAAATTTTATCTTACAAAGCTATTATTTTAAAAACATGTACATATGCATATGTGATTAAATATTCTAATTTTGATGGCTAAATTTTAGTTATTAATTCTCTTCTATGTCTGTCACAACAATCCATGTATTCATTAGATAATCCATGTTTCTATGACTACAGTCTTAGCTCCATAATGTGAATCAGACTAGATATATTTTCTGATGAGCAGATACTTTTTATAAAATCCATCCTTTTAGCACATTAATTTAAATGGAAAAAATTTAAAGAAACAAAAACCACCTAAACTATCTTGTTCTTCTTCATTGTAGTCATTACATCACCTTCATCAACACATTGCTTCTGCTAACCACTTGCAGCTTTACTCCCAGTGTTTAAATATATTTACCATAAATCCATTTCATCAGAAATGATATTATTAACTTCAGCAATATACTTATAACAGTGCTCTACTGTCTGGTAGCTTCATAATTTGTTTGCTACTGAAAGCCTAAATGTGTTAATTATAGTTAAATCCATGGCAACTGAGAGAACTTGATGTTTCCATCATTTTGTACCTACCCCTTTCGAATCAATCACTCCAGGTTTGGCATTAAACTTCACTGTCTTCAATCGGGCACGTTCCTTTCTTTCCACCCTAAAGCAAATTGAGAATAAAAAGTCTGTCACATGACAAGGCATTTATGACTTAGTTCCTTATTAAGTGAAGAACATTTTTTTCCTCCAATCCTTGCAGCTCGAATAAAATGTGTTCTAAAATATTTCTCTTCCTTTGTTCCATATAAAAAATCTTGGTACAAAGTCTCTAAGTTTCTAACACATCCCTTGAAATTACTCCAATACTCACACTGAGAGTCACATCATGGTATTTGTAAGCAACAGAGAGGTAGAAAAAATAATATTTGTTATTTAAATGCTTAAATAATTAAATCAAAATCTGTTTCAAGAAATCTCAGTCCACAAAGATGAACACCTATATTGGAGACTAAACAAGCGTTTCCTCCCCTCTCCTTTTCTCTCCTCCCCTTTTCTTCTTTGTTTTTCCTTCTCTTCCCCTTAAGGACACTAGTGTATTTAGCTTCAATTTTTAACCAAACATGTTATATATAATCTTGAACTTTCCTTTTCCCCAATGTCCTTCTGTCATCTCTGCAGATTCATTGTTTTCCTGCTACTTCGTTTATTCATTAAACACTTAATCACTGCCTACCATGCATCAAGCAAGGAGTTGGGGAACAAAGAAAAAATATTCTAAAAGCATGACTGCAATGAATTCTTAGCAATGTTCTTTTGGCAAGAACAGTGGTGTAAACAAGCACAGAAAATGCTGTAGAACAAGATGGCTGATATCAATGTGGGAGCACATATCTCACTGGGAGGGTGCAAAGGAAGACTAGAAAGCATTAGGGTGGGCTTCTTGGAGGAAATGTCAATTTATCTGAGACTGAAGGATTAGAAAGAGTTTGTCAGTAGGGAAATTTCAGGGGGATTTTTCACAGCAGGAACAACACATGCCTCAACCTGAAGATATGAATGAGCTACAAGATTGCAGAAAGATTCTAATACAGGGTACATAGGGGATATATAGGATGGGGTGGTGAGGCTAGCGAGGTGACAGACTCCTTTTAAAGGGTATCCATCCACATTTTAGACTTGAGTTTTTTTTTTGGGAATCATCGTAAGTTCTTAGAGGATATAAAGCAGCGAAGTGATAAAATCAGATCAGCTTTTAAATAAACAACCCTGGTCAAGGTGGAAGATAGACTGAAGGAGGGAAGGAGCAGGAGGAGGTTGGGGGCCTATTTAAAAGCTGTTGCCATAGTCCAGGCAAGAAATAATGAGAAATGATAGTGGGGTGGAGAAGAGGGAAAGGCTTGAGAAATACTAGGAAAATACAATTGGTTGGACTCTTTCCTGTTTGAAGGCCAGGGTTGAAAAAGAGGAAAATAATCTAAATATTTCCCTGATTCTTCTGAGCCCCTCCAGTTAGACATGATTGCTCCTTTCTGACTGGAACAGTCTCCATGTCAGCATTACATCTTGATTTCCTTGTATTTACTTACATTTGCACTGCATATACAGGGTTGTATGTACCTTAAGGTACAAGCCCACTTATCACTTGATGGTGTTTTATAGCAAGTCCTCGATAAATAATTGTCCAGCAAAAATAATATTCATTGCATTGTTTTAACATGACTTCTTGTTTAAATATTTCTAGCTTTAAATTCAAAGATGTGGGGGAAAAAGAGAAAGAAAATACCCGAACCTACAGAAACTTAATGGTTTATAAAGTCTAAGCTATTCATAGATCAATAATTAACAGCATACTCCTTTCTAACTGAGAGCTCTTTTGTGTTCCCAACTGAAACACAGTGAAGATCAGGGTTTCTATAGTTACAGAATGGAATTGCAGAATGTATTTATTTCAGTGTGAGAGTAGAATATCTGAGTGGAAACAGCTGAACAAAATTTTTCAAATCTAACGTCATATGTTAAAACAATGTGAGGCCGGGTGCGGTGGCTCACGCCTGTAATCCCAGCACATTGGGAGGCTGAGGCGGGTGTGGATCACCTGAGGTCAAGAGTTTGAGACCAGCCTGGCCAACATGGTGAAACCCTGTCTCCACTAAAAATACAAAAAAAAATTAGCTGGGTGTGTTGGCGGACACCTGTAATCCTAGCTATGTGGGAGGCTGAGGCAGGAGAGTCACTTGAACCCGGGAGGTGGAGGTTGCAGTGAGCCTAGATCATGCCATTGTACTCTAGCCTGGGCGACAGAGTGAGACTTTGTCTCCCCCAAAAATAAATATAAATAAATAAATAAATAAGAAGTAAAACAATGTGTTCCACCAAGAGTTTCTACTTGCACCAGACGCACAACCGTTGGGGAAAAAGCAAGATAGATTTCAGATAAGATAAGCTGCCAAGTGGAAAATGGTCACTGGTAAAATGCCTCCTTTGAGGTTCATCACTTCACCTTTTCTTGATTTTAATCCGAGTGCAAATGTAATTTACATTCATCTCTTTGTAGTCTTCTAAAACTGTTGTTAGGTCCCTAACTTTATTCCGGCTTCTTTGCATTAACTGGGCTAAAGTCAATGCTTTGGCATCATTCACTGATGCCAAAATGACTGTAGTATGCAGAGAATACATGGTTATTTGATCAGGGTGTGCAAATAAATTCTGCATAAACCCACAGAACTCACACAGGTTCCAAACATACATAATGTTGGGAGGAACTCAGTATTCAACTCTCAGAACTGCTTAGACACAGCATTCTAATATTGTCCCCTACCCTGCAGCTCAACTCCATTTCCATGTTTATCCTTTTCAATTTTCTTGAGAAATGTCTCTATTAGGAAGATTTTAGTGGTTCATCCCTTAAATCTTAAAAAGGTTGCAAAGAATATTAAGTCAGCCAGACACACACACAGACACACACAAATGCACACACACACATACACTCACCTACCATTTTCTATAGTTTATTATTAATCTTCAAACAGGTAATAGAGAAAGTAAAAAAAAAAAAAATTGAAGCCATACGGAGGTCACATACCTCCGGGTCACTCATGAAGGAAGTTGAAAAGTTTTGCTTCCCATTTGGGTTGAAAGTTTCATTAATAAGTGGAGTTGCACCATATAATTATTAATAAAGTTCCTTTGCATTTACATCATCTCATTTGGTCCCCACAACAACCTAATGATTTAAGTATTATCAATCTCATTTTATAACTGAAGAAACTGAGACTTGAAGCTTACCAGATCAGAAAGTGGTAGAAATACAGCCTGAACATACATTCTCTAACAGCTAACTTCAGTGTCTGTCCATAGCCACTCAATTTGGGAGACAGCATTCAGGTACCTCCCAAACCTGGATGATCCAAATTCTCAATAAACGTGAGATTTTCGGATGCGGCTTCCACAGTTTGAAGGCACATACATATCCTTAGAAGTCTGGGCTGAGGTTTTTACAAATTATAACCAACATACCCTTGCATCCCCATCTCCCTAATGTCCTGAATGCTATGAATATTATTAATTATTAAATAAGCCCCAACCAAATTTAAGCATACAATCATTGAGTTAGTAGCATACCACAAGAGGTTGACCTCAAAATTCAGAATAAATTTACTTTAAACACAGAAGTCTGCTTAGTTAAATCCCTATTTGAGTTGATTCGTCTCCTCAGCACACCAGCAACCCTAGTAGTGCATTCCCATCACAAAGGCTTGCATTACTGCCTTGGGGTTCTCTGAAAACCTCTTTCCTTAAGAGGGAGGCTATGTCTGTGGCTTATCTTCCTCATCTGCCTCAGCCCTTTCCTCTCTTCTAGCTCTTTCTGGGATGCATGTGAATGGTTTACTGCTGAAATGAGACTTAAGTCTGGAAAATAGGGCTCTAAGTAATGTGACGTATTTTTTTTCTGGCAAGAAAAGCTCAAATTTTGAAAAATGGAAAGCAGCTATTATTGGAATGTACACTAAGTGTTAGAAACTGTGCTAAGGACTTCACCTATAATATCTATGATCCAGGGTCTGACATGAGCTGGGTACGTAGTAGTTGCTTAATGAGCCTTTGTTGAATGAGTGAATAAATGAACTCTCAAGGGGGCTACTAGTTCTTTACCTAATTGTGAAAACCACTAGGCCAGGGAGTTTAAGTGAATTGCTGAACAACCAGTTTTTCCCATAAAAAGTGATTCGTCATTTCACAACTTACTTTCTTGGTAAGAATCTAGGTAAAACTTCAGTATCATTTTCTCTTATTGTTTTACTGAGTAAGACTTCTTTGGCTAATAAATATTAAGGTCCAAAGGCTTTCACCTAAAGAAATTGTGGACCACCTGAAGAGACAGATCAAATCTCAATGAGGACAATTGCCTTACTTCCCCACTCACACTTAGACTCAAGCAATTAATTAGATTGTTTGAGCAGAAATAATCCTCCCTGTCCAAGTCTCATCACTGACCAAAATACCGAAAACATAAATGGAATGGTAAAATTTGAGCAATCGATTCTGACATTTCATATCTCCAGAGAGCACCAAATGGCCATGTTTTAATAAGCCCAACTGTCTCCCTCTCCCTCTCTCCCATCTGGTATTTTTAGGTTCTGGCCAAACCCATAATTGGGTCAGGCTTGGAGCACTGGACAGTGGGAACATCATTTGTCCCTGGGAGTTCCTTTCCCTGTGCTCCACAGGCCCTGTTGGAGGGAGAATTAGAATGTCACTCACATTAGTGGCCACAGGCTTGCTGGGAAGGCTAGGTGAGTAAACTCTTATGTAATGCCAGCCATAAGCTGCCATCTGAGAGCCCAAGTGACCCATTACTGGAGAACAATGAATAGACACTTGGCTTAAGAGACCGTAGGACAGCTGGGAGCAGTGGCTTATGCCTATAATTCCAGCATTTTGGGAGGCTGAGGTGGGCGGAACACCAGAGGTCAAGAGTTTAAGACCAGCCTGGTCAATATGGCAAAATCTCGTCTGTCCTAAAAGTACAAAAATTAGCCGGGTATGGTGGCGGGTGCCTGTAATCCCAGCTACTCAGGAGGCTGAGGCAGGAGAATCACTTGAACCCAGGAGGTGGAGGTTGCAGTGAGCTGGGATTGTATTGTACTCCATCTCAAAAACAAAAAAAAAAAAAAAAAAAAAAAAGGAGAAAGACCATGGAACAAAACCCAGCTTGACCTCTTACACACCATGTAATCTCAGAAAAGTGATTCTATGCTAAGAGTCCAGATTTTAAAGTCACACAAGTCTGGGTTTGAATTCTGCCTCTTCCACTTACCAGGTCTATAACTTAGGGTGGTCCTCAACCTCTTAGGATTTCAGATTTTGTGTTGATACAATTAGAATAGTAGCGCAGACTTCAAAAATTTATAATGAATGTTAAATGAGATAATATAAGAAAATTGTTTTGCACAATGTCTGATCTATAGTAAGAACTCACTATACAATAGGCTGCTACTAAGATGATTATGATAATGCTGCCCATGACGTCACTTCTCATTACTGGTCCCAATTTCCTTACCTGTAAAAAGGAAGTAATACAGGTACCCTATTTCAGGTGCTCGCTGCCAAAGTCAGTCCCTTTATGCCAGGTGGGAGCAAGACATGGACTTCCAATTTTCCCTCTTAAGAGACCCTGAAATGTGGGCCACCAGACTTGAGAGCTGAAGGGCCAAGAAGAGCCCCAAACCTTTGCAATTGCTCATAGAGACATCAGAAGGGCATGTGTTTGAATCCAGGCTTAGCCCCCTGCTGCCACTGTAATTTTGGCAGGCTACTTAAATTGCCTGACTTTCTATTTCCTTACTTGGCATATGCTCCTAGGGTAGTGTTCCTGGTGTAGTGTAAAGCCATCTGGCTTTGTTATCAAAGAGACTGGTGTGTGGTCAGTGGCTGGCTGTGTATTTTTGGGTAAGTTACTTGACTTCTCTGATCCTCAGTTTCCTTATGAGGTTTTCGTGAAGATTAAGTTGAAATCATGTATTTGAAAGTAACTGGTGCAATACATCATCAGTGCTGTCATCAGATGGAATTCACTCTCTGTCTGCTGCCATTTCACTTTCCTGGCCTTTACAAGATAGCCCGCATTGCCCTAATCACAGAGTAGCTGTGCCACAGTTACATGTTGGTCCCACAAGTGATGGGCTCCAGGCAGTGGAGCCACAAGTGATGGGCTCCAGTACATGGCACTCAGATGCTGCCCAAGCAATGCTTGCTGAATTGAATTTTGTCAGCTCCCATGTTTGTACCTTTGTGGGGCAAGATTGCATATGTCTTAAGTGCAATTCTGTAGCCTGGATTCAAATTCCAGTTCTACCACTTACTACACGGGCAATTTCAGGCACATTAATGAACCTCTTTGTGCCTCAGTCTCCTCATTTGTAAAATAAGGATAATAATAGCAACTTACTCATAGGGTTCTAATGAGGTTTAAATAAGTTAATAATTGTAAAGGGCTTACAACAGTGTCTAGCGTGCAATAGGAATGTTTTGTTAAATAAAATTTATTCACCATCTTCAGAAAAAAGGAGGGGGAAGGTGATAATATTCATACTTTTCATCTCATGGTTTCATTTGGGATGATTAAATGACATTATCAATAGAGAAACATTTTTGTAAATGGCATAAAGTCATACACTGATGTTATCCATTATGAGATTTAAAAAACTTTCCAGATGAGCACTACTAGGTAAATTATACTCAGGAAACAGGCTAGAAAGAAATTAATGATTGAAAAATAACATCAACCTAATAAATGTAGGTTTTAAATTGCATTACAATAAGTACATGAGTACTCTTTGTGGGGTAGAATTATAAGTGATTTTTATTTTCTTTATGTTTTTCTAGATGTTCCCACCTTCCTACAATAAAAGGTATTACTTTTACAAATACTTAAAGCAATAAAAGTAACTATTTTGAAAATAATTAAAATCCTAAAAAGAAAATTTGGCAGAAATTTATTTATAGCTATAAATTATATAAATATATACATTATATAATATATATTATATATATGAAGTGGAGCTACTGTACCCTTTATAAAAAGTAGAATGTAAATAAATATCAACATTGCAGTCACTAATTAAACTTATTTTCCAGGTCAGCTATGCTCTGGTTGTTAAGATGGTTCTCTTCCAAAATAAGAGAGAAATAGCTAATTCAAGAATGATTACCAGCAGGTGGAAAATTATTTCAGGAGGAATAGCATAGAGAATGTTCTTCTGGAGAAAAATGATGCGCTAATTGAACAAACAAATGACTTGATAAGATTGGTTAGAATCATAGAACCTCAGGGCTGGAAAGAACCAGAAAATTGTATAGTTCAACTGCTGTATCCAAAGTTTGAATTCCTTTTCTATCTTCCCAGATAGTCCATGCCATCTTTAGGCAGCTCCAACTAATGAAAGGGCTTCTTTAAAATGAGCTGACATCTATTCCCACATAGCTTTCCTTTATCTACCCCATTACTATCTTTGGGGCCATAATTCAACAAGATGGCTCCTTCTTCTAGAGAACAGTTCTTCAGACAGCTCAAAATAATTAAATCAAAGCAAACCAAAAGGCACTTTGTCTTGACTTTTTTTTATTTGGAGTAAATGGAAATGGAGAGACCCAGAATATAAACAAGCCAGTGCTGAGTCAATGTTTAAACATATAACCTTTTGGAAAACACACACAGCCATTCTACAGTCAGAATGCCCTGGCAAAGCAATGTCAAGCAATTATCCAGGAGCCAAGAGGCTTAAAGAAACACAGAGAATTCTGCTGGTGGGAGATCTATAGGCACTGGCATAGGGGAGGGAGAGGCTACCTGGAATTTCAGCTCCTTCACTGTGACTCCTCCTGGCTAAAGGTAAGAGAACAGCTGAGGACCAGTGAGCCCTCTGCTTTCCATGTCCCATTCTTCCCCAGGCTGTATGACCACAGGCAGAGAGAAGAGATCAGCTGTCTCGGGAGCACAAATATCCCACAGAGTTATTCTGAGGTTTAAATTCCATCTTCCCACTATGGTTTGTACTAGCCCAAACACTTGATGTGTAGTAGCACTTAAAGGCCCAGCTTCACTGGGAATATTTTACAGAGGCATTTTGGGTGTTTGGAGATGAGGATCAAAGCCCTTTGAGAAATCTGCAGCTTGAGAAAAGTTAGTGCCTGCTTTTATTAAGCATCATTCCTGACTGATTTTGTACTATATCTAGTCTCTGGGATAGAGCCAATTTCTGTTTCTTGGATATCTTGGTGCCAAAGGGACATTTGTGAGAAGGAAAGTTCCTGTCTGGTGATGGATCTGCTGGGACAGATTAAGGAGTTGGCTGTTCTGAAGCACATTTCTGCTTTTCAAAAGTAGAGCTGAAGAAACACTTGGAAGAGAAAGTATGATGCTCTTGATTTAGGAAACACTTACACAGAACTAAATATCTGGGTAGCTATTGGAAGTTGTGAGGTGGGGAACAAGAGTAAAGAAAACAGTAAAAAAAAGAAAAAAAAATTGTAAACCCAGTCAGTACTTAGACCTCACCAGATGTTTGACAGCTCATATCCCAAGCATCTGAATTTGAGATGAAGGTTTTCCATTATTTTTCCACCAATATTTGTAGATATTACATAGCCAGGACCTTAGCCTAGTAAATTGCCTACTTCATTTGCCTTCAACTTGACCTTTCTATAAAATTCATTGGTAAATGTTGAAACTCTGGAAATAAATGGGCTGAATTTGTAAGTCAGCATATAAGCTGATAAGCACAAGTTTGCACATGCACACCCTGGTAAAAGTTTTAGGAACACAGTGTAAGCCGATTCTCTTTCTTCCTTTATTTCTTGTCACAGTCACCAATTTTGGTAAAACCCTAATATAGGAGAAAGGATTTTTAATTCATGTCACCTGTCACCACTGACAATTTTCCTGCAGATTGACTATCCCATTTAAATAAATTTAATTTTGTGAACAGTTTCTCCCACCTTCTTCTTCCCTCATCTCCATTCCCTGGATAGCTGAAAAGCAAATATTCTGCTACAAAAGGCATTCTTACCTCCGTTTGCTGGGGATGACCCCCATCTCCTCACTGTCTCCCTCCAGCATGACTCTCCTGGCTTGCCACCACTCATCATCAGAGGCATTGATAACGTGGAGAATATCTCCATATTTAAAACTAAGTCCTTGACTTGGAAGCCCACTGTCCTTGCTCTTGTCGTAGTCAAACATGGCTCTGGAGGAAAGGACAAAAGAGGACACTGTTAGGAATCTCTGTCAGCACAGATTTAGGAGTTGTGGTTTCAAATGTTCACTCTTGCTCTGAGAACCCATCATCACGTGGTATCAACTCCCGGGATGATTCCCTGGATCACAGTCCACACTCTCACTGCTTTGGCAACACACTAAAGTTAGCTCTTGCTTCTTCTTGGAGGTTACAGGGGCAGCCTATAGATCCTCAAAACTGAGATCTGCTTCTTTTCTTGGAGACCATCAGATGTTAGAAGGTGATAATAGAAGATGAGAAAGGCAGTTTACTACCTAATTGAGATTTTTTCCCCCTTGCATTACAATCAAATTTTTAAAATTACTAAAAAAAGTAAAATAATAAAGAGAAATATGGCTATCCTTCTAAATGAAGCATTTTGTACTGTAAACAAATCATCTCAGATGTATCAGCCTGTAGAACTGTTTCTTTCGTAATGGGAAAAAACAGTAACAAAGGTCCACCAATTTAGTAGGTGATCCCTCTACTCAATGAAATATTGGACCACCACTGCAACTGGATGAAGAGGTTAATGCAATCACCTGAATACATGCATAAAATGCAGTAAATTAAAAAATGTATGCATATGTATGGGTATGGCTAGATAAAAGTCATATTAACAGCACGACAAATCTTTCTGCTTCCATATAATGCCGAGCTTACCTCATCATGGCACTTATCTCTGAATTACAATTCTTGCTTTCTGTATCATGCTGCCCTCACTAAAAAGCATTTGCTAAGCATTTGTTAAGGCCAATGCACTGTAATATGTATGAATGGCAGCATGAAGGAGGTGGAATCAGAATCAAAATGATGAACAAGATCTTAGAAACTAGCTGTCATCTTTAAAAGGTGAACATTTGCCACCACTCCTGTATTGTACACATCCTGCTGTATATCCCATTTTCAAAAATCACCACCACACACATACAGCATATGACTTTCCCAGAGAAGCAGATTTCACTACCTGTCTGTGTATTCCCCTTTGATTTCATTCTAAGAATTTCCTTAGAGTATAACTACTACGTATGCAAAACTAGCAAGATCTGGGGAACATATTTTTCTAAAAATCTGTTTTATTTTAGATTTTTCCACACTGAAGACCAAGTGTGGTTTTCTTCTTCTTTCTTTGTCCATCAAAGAAATGTCACATCTGCTGCCATGACAACAAGAAAGAGCTGAAGACAGCATCTAGAGCTCTTAAACACAGCAGGAAAAGTATAATTACTTGCAACATAGTCCCTTCTTTCATTAACACTGTCTCCCAAAGATGGAATTTGGAGAGGGTTTCCCGGTCCAAGCTCCCAGAATGAATCATTTGCACCTTGACCACCCCTGCCAAAGGCTCAGACAAAGCCCCAGTCAGGAACGGGGAGCTGTGGAAAGACCAACATCCACTCCTGAAGCTATTACTTCTCTGATTCTGTGATGTGACATACATTAGTTAACATTCTTGAGCCACAGGTTTTTTGATGCAAAATTAGTCTAATAACAACACTCACCTAGAACTACTGTGATCCTTAATGAAATAACACATATGCAGCACTAAGCCCATAGTATGTGCAGTCTAGTGTAGTACAGTGTGGTTATGAATATGGACTACTGGGTCTATGTCCCGCTCCTACTATGTCTTACTTTTACAGCTAGTCAGCTGGGCAAGTTACTTAGTCTCTTTTAGGCTTCAGTTTCCTCATATACAACATAGTGATAATGATGACAATGATGAGAACAATACCTCCATCACTGAGTGCTGTATGGGTAAAATGTTACATAAGGTAATATAGATACAAAGCGTGGACAAATGGACCTGGCACACAATGACAAATAGTAAGCATGAACTGATGTTTTTATTATCTCCCTTTTTCCTTCCGTGTAGATGCTAATACAAACCTTTTCTTTAGATTCTACTCTGTGCAAAAAGGAGTTAACGTAGCAAGCCTGAGACTGCTGTTCTTGCTTGTAAGGGTGGCCCTTGGCTGACATCTGGGAAGTTAGATTTTGGGAGGGTTCCCACCATTTTCTCATAAGAATGGCTTACTGGGCCTAAACTGTTTGTACAAACAATATCATTTATACTGAACACCTGCTTTCTTTCTGGGAGTCTGATATTATGGTATGTGCTAGGCAGAGGCTGCCTACGTGACCAGCTCCCAGTAAACCTGGACATTAAATCTCTAATAAGATTCCCTGGTAGACATTTTGCACCTGTTGTTGCAATTTGTTGCTGGAAGAATTAGGCACTTCCTGTGTGACACCACTGAGAGAGTACACTCGGAAACTTGCAGCTAATTTTTTCCAGACTTTGTCCTCTGCTCCTGTTCCCTTACCTGACATTGTTTGGTATCTTTTTGCGGTAATAAATCATAATCATGAGCATGATCATGCTGAGTCCTGTGAACTATCCTAGTGAGTCATCAACCTGGGAGTTGTCTTGGGGAACCCCAACACACGCTCTATAGATTGCAAAGCATTTTCACACAAGTTACCTTGTTGTGACTCAATCAGTTGCTGTGAACAAGGTGTGACAGACATAGTACTATCCTCCCAACTTTTGTTGTTGTTGTTGTTGTTAAAAGATGAGGGACAGATCTACTGGGGCCCACTGACTAACTCCAGAATATACAGCTCAGTGGCAGCAACCTAGGACTAGATGTTGGGTCTCCAGATCCAAGTCTAGTTCAGTGCTCTTCACCTTGCCCCCTCATTCAACCTGGGAGGTGGTGATGATAAGGTGTGGAAAATGATAACCATGATGGCTACTACTACTTACACCCTTATTAGGTGGTCTGGAACTTTGTAGTCATTGTCTTATTTGATGTCACAGCAACCCTAAAGGTAAAAATTAGTATCCCCACTTTATAGATGAGGGAAGGAGGCTCAGGAAGTTAAGGAGCCTGGCCCAGGTCACACAAACACATGTGGTGGAGGTTGAATACAAAATGAGGTGTATCTGATTCCAAATTCTGTTTTCTTGGCCATTTTATTACATGGCTCAATTTCCCCGCTTGTTGCCCTCTGGCCATGCTCACAGTCTAGCAGTGCCAAAGACTTTTAATCTTCCCTTTAGGGCTGACAACCACTTCTTCCCTAAATTCCTGAAACTCCCTTACTGCTCAGTCCTTGTCCAAGTATTTCTTATCCCCAAAGTCCTTGAACTGCTGGCCTGACTCTAGGCTCCTTCTGGATGTAAACTATGGGAAGTTGAGGTAGAGAAACCAACAGAAAGGCTAACAAGTAGTAGCCAAGAAGGCAGGCTCTGGAGCCAGACTGCCTAGGTTTGCAATTTTTTAACTATGTGATCTTAGGCATGTTACTTAATCCCTCTGGGCCTCAGATTTTCTTAACTGTAAAACTGGCATAAATAATAACACCATCTGTCTCAAAAGAGTTATGGTGAGGATTAAATGAAATAATATACGCAAAGTATTGTAACACTGGCCTGGCACTAGTGAGGGCTCAATAAATGTAAGATATTATTATAATAACTGTTATTCTGAAAAACATATTATAATTTGAATCAGGGGGTCTGTGTGCCAATTGTGCCACCTAAAAGCTGTTTTCTGGGCTATGCATAAAGACATCTAAAATATCTCTGTATCCTCAGGACCTAGTAGGGTGCCAGATCCAAAGTAGATCCTCAATACAGGTGTGTGAAAATGTTTCAGGTGGCTTTTGAAAGCCCTTCTTCTCTCACGTCTCTGCATTCCCATTTGAAGTGGGAGTGGGGACTATTCCTGGAGGTTCCTACCAGGTCAGGCATTCACTCGCCTGTGCTCTTCTATTCCCGAGAGTCCTTAAGGGGAACTTTCCCACTCCTGCTGTTAGATGCAGGTGTCCTTCCTAAGGAGCTCAGCGACAGGCTCTTTCCACGAGCTCTATTGATCTTGGACAATCTGCCCCTCTAGGATTACATTTATTCAGACTTGGCAGGTCCCTAAAACCAAGCAGTTGACACATTTCAGCAGCTTCTGGCTCCTTTGGATATTAATGGATCCTCACATCTGGGAAAAATGCTACAGTGCCCCATCACCTAATTTAACAAGCGATAAGCTGTTTTTAATTTGCTTTATGTGCTAATTCATCACAGCAACTTTTATAAAATGCCATTAAGACTCACACTTTCCATCCAGGGTGCTTTTAACAAGTCCATTAGACAAGTAGAATAGGACATGAATAATGTAATAACTCTCCTATCCCTCCTGCCCCTCCTGAATTTCAGTGTGTGGTGGCCCCTTGCCAACTGGGGAAGTCTAGTAAGGGAAGAGTGAAGCAGCTGCTCATCCTCATGACTGTGCAATACGGCTGTGAGATACCTGGGTACCCTACTAAAATAGTGCTTTTTAGGTGTTGCACAATGCAGCAAGCATTTTATATTCATTGTCTCCCTCAATTTATGGGGTAGGCAACATAGCATATGGGTTATATGCCAGGCTTCCAAGACAGAGAAGACCTGGGTTTATGTCCCAGTTGTGCCATTCTTAGCTGTATAATTTGGGCGTGTTACTTAACCTCTTAGATAACCACTTTACCATAGATGGGCGTTCTCTTATTTAGGAAATGCAGATAATAATGGAACTAACGCAAAAGGGTGCTGTGGAGATATGACAATGGGACGACACATGTAAAATACCCAACACAAATGAGTTCCACTTTGTTATTATTTCTGACAACAATTCTGCCATGCAAGCATTTTTGTTCTCATAAAGAAAATGAGATATAAAGAGGTGAAATGAAAATAAGATAGTAAGTAGCAGAGCCAGGATTAAAATATAGATAGATGTGTCTTACTCAAAAGTTCATGTTCCTAATCTCAGAATTCTTGGAATTCCTGATAAGAAATGTTGTACTTAGATCTTATACCTAAGGATTTCATGATTTGATGATAACACTTATAGTGATACTATGGACTAGCCTGCAAAAAAGACACATGAGTAGTTTATAGAGGACATATTCAGTTCTCACAGCTATCC